GGAGCCCGCCGGCGCCCGCCTGACCCCCCGCGGCTTCGTTTCCTTTCCCAGAACCAGCAACGGGAAGAGCACGGTGATCAACGCCATGCTGCGCGACCGCGTGCTGCCCAGCGGCATCGGCCACACCACCAACTGCTTCCTCAGCGTGGAGGGCACAGACGGGGACAAGGCCTACCTCAAGACCGAGGGCTCGGAGGAGGAGCAGAGCGTCAAGGTGCGGCGCTGAGGGGGTTCCCAGCCCTGCTGCCCCTGTACCCTCGGCAAAGCACGTCGGTGTCAGCCGGGGCCTTGTGGGAGCCTGCGAGGTTTTGAAAGGCGGCGCCGTCCTGTGCACAGTGGTACTGGGTTCCCCCCTCCCCCCCAGCTACCACACGGCAGAAGTCAGGGGTCACTCCGGGGCCCCCTCAGGGGAACTGGGCACGGGCGTCGTGGTGCGCTGCTCCGCAAGAGTTGAGAAGCTCGGAAAAGGCCCTGCCTGGCTTAAGAGCTTGAGGAGGGTTGATATTATTCTGGCAAGCGGTGCAAGCAGTGTGACTCCGCCCGGCACTCCGGTGCAGTCCTGGGAGGTGGGAGAGGTGCTTTGAGCCCGAAGGGGGATATAAATTTGGGATCAGAGGCTGTCCTGTCGGGGCAGGGTACGTCGCCACCTGATGTTGGTTGGCTTCATCTGGCACAGTTGATGCCTGGAGTGACTTTATTTTGTACTGAAATCACGATGGATGTAACCGAGGCCTGTCTGTGTTCTGCTCAGTCCTGTGAGTGCTTTATATGAACTTAAGTAACAGGATTTAAAAAAAAAAGTGTTCAGCATCCCTTTGTCTGCCCCCCGCTCCCCGCTCCCTCCCTGTCGCCAGCAGACCGTGAACCAGCTCGCCCACGCCCTGCACATGGACAAGAGCCTGGACTGCGGCTGCCTGGTGAAGGTCTTCTGGCCCAAGGCGAAGTGTGCCCTCCTGAGGGACGACCTGGTGCTGGTGGACAGGTATAGTGCCCGGTCCGAGGCCAGGGCCACTCGCGTCAGGCAAGACTCCCCCTTCCCCTCTCGAGTCTGTTTGCCGAGCGCCTGAGCTTGAGCAGAATGAGCCCAGGCCTCTCCTGGCCTGTCATTCCTGTTCAGCTGGTGTGCTTAGAAGAACAAGCAAGGGTGCTTTAAAACACACTTAACTTTCATTTAATTTCACCAACGGTTTTTAAAGAGCAATGCTAAGTTTGCTATGCGTCCTTAAGTGTTATGTCAGCAAAACTTAGTGTTGCCAAAACTTTGTGGTGGATAAACGTCAGACCTGGAGTCCAGACATTTTACAGGGCGGGGGGTGTCTTGTCCAGTTTCCCAAGGCTTTGGAGACGGACCTTGACCCCTGCAATCCAGATTACACATGCAAGGAGTAGTAATTTGTGAAACTGGTCTCACTCTCCCAGTCCAGGGACTGATGTGACAACTGAGCTGGACACCTGGATCGACAAGTTCTGTCTGGACGCGGATGTGTTTGTCTTGGTGGCCAACTCCGAGTCTACGCTGATGAACACCGTAAGTGTGCAGACGACCTGTCCATCTGCTTTGCTCACAGGAGTGCTAAACTGTTTTTTATTCATTACTTCCTATATTTGCCTGCGATTCTGAGGGGTCTGTTTTTTAAACCCCCCTGGCTAGCACTTTGCAGAATGGTTCATGTTCGCCATACCACTTGTTGAAAGGCTAATGACGGTTGTGCAGTGTTTCTTTGTCAAACAAGAAATGCCTGCGTTAGAATGGTACGTTTTACACTCAGAGTTGGCAAATAACTACTAGAACAGAGACATACAGCATTTGTACACGCTACAGAGTGACCTCTCTGTTTATCTCTGCTGAACTATCTGAGGCACTCCAGAGCACACAATGTCAGACAGGTCATCCATGCCAGTGCTTTCAGAGGTCGGCTTCTCTGGCCTAGTATTTACAGTAAGCCGTTCTCTAAATAGTCCCTCCTGCAGCTGCTGAAGGAGAATATGATATGTTCAATGCATGGACGCAGACATGAGGATTATTGACATTCTTACAGTTCGTTTTTTTTTTTACCTTGAAGGGTTTTCAGGCCATAATATTTAAAGGTGTACAGAGAACAGTGTGTGCGTGTGTGTGTGTGTACATTGAAGAATTGATGGCCTGTTCAAAACTGTATCACAGACTTCGCACCCTCAGTGCAGTGCAGTCTGAAGTGTGTACAGCCTGGGTCCCAGCAGCCGAGAGGCTACTGCCCTGGTGGTGATCTCCACATGCCCCATGATGGGCAGCAGTATGGCAAGAGCCTTGTGGAGCCTGTCTTTGTCCATAGGCAGTGGACGCCACAGTGGGCACCCCAGTGTGAAGTCACTCAAAGGGCCGTAAGGCCCCCAGGTTAAGCCTGTGATGAGGGCCAGAATCTATAAAGGCCTGGAGTGCACCTGGAAGTCTGAGCGCTCCTTGTTTCCTTTTCACTCCAAGGAAAAGCACTTTTTCCACAAGGTGAATGAGCGTCTTTCCAAGCCCAACATCTTCATCCTGAACAACCGGTGGGACGCGTCGGCCGCCGAGCCCGAGTACATGGAGGATGTGAGTAGAGCATGAGTACAGGGAGGGTGTGAGTAGAGCCCGAGTACAGGGAGGGTGTGAGTAGAGCCCGAGGACAGGGAGGGTG